CTGAATAATTCATATCAATGCTGGGACTATCTCTCTGCGAATCTCAATCTCCCAGAAGTCTATATTTATTTCAAATGTTGAAGTGAATTCCGATCCGACGCAGCGAGGAGGAGAGACAATACCTGAAATTCAATCCAAATATAAAATAAAAATAACCAGCATACTAATTCGGAACTATCGCAACGATTATGCAATCCTTCTATTTCTACAGGTCCATAGCTGGGACAATTCTCCCGAGACAAATGGTATTCGATTATATGAAGAAGATTATAAGCATAATAAGACAAGATGCATCGACAATTATTCCCATTCCATCCCCTCTATTTAATAAGAGAACCAATTCCGTTCGTAATTCGTTCACTCGCAAGTTCTCTTCGCCAAACAAGTATTCGCTTCGTTTCTAGATGATATATTCATTTCGGAATATACCAATTATAGAAGAGATCGCCACTCTCGCACTCCGCCACCGACTCCCTCCATCGATAGCGACGATATCGAGCCCGTATCAAGGTCGGAGGGCAAGTCCAGAGGCTAAAATTTCCTCGCAGAACGGTTCGCCGCCGCCAACGCTAATTCATCCAAGCGGCCCACCGGCGCCTACGCCGATATCGTCGGCAGGTGCGGGAGGAAAGCTCCCCCAGGAAATCTATTATGGTCGACGGAATTACCTGCGGCGAGTAGAGCTCCTCCCTAGGCTCCTCTCCTGGACGTCTCCATTCAACGTCGCAATGCCGAATATAAAATCTCCGAGAACGGAAAAAAACCTAGAAATTCTCTGTCGATTATATTTCTCATAGAATAAAAGGTGCGTATCATCCCTTATCCGCATATATCATGAATATCTTATTTTAATAGAAGCTTTTTTCTTCAATAATCAACAAAAATAATAAAGTCGAATACTACCAATATCTCCCGATTTCAATATATAAATTCTCCTATAATTCTACTCTAGATCGCATGCGACGAAGAAGCGCATTAAATCATCAATCTATCAATTTATCTATCTATATATCAAATTCCAACAATATCCTAGAATACGAGACGATTATAAATGCTTAATTAGGCACGATCAGAAATAAGAATGAATCAAAATAAATCACGAAGAAATCAATCATCTATCTCGATCAATATTCTAAATAAGAATATAAATTAAATTTATGAAAATAAAATATAGGAAATCGAATATTCATAATACGAAAAAGAATTATATTACGACCAGATCTTCTCCTATTCTATATGAAAAAAAAACTATTAAAGAAATATTTCAAAAATCGATATGAAATACGATATATATATATATATAAATATAAATATATATAAATATATATATATATATATATATATATAAATATATATATATATATATATGGTGCCCCCCCCCATGGATCCACCTTTTTCGTGTGCTTCATGTACGCGCCGTCGACAACGTCGTTACACAATTGTTCTTCAAGGGCCCAGGGCAAGGGTTTGGGGGTTTAGGGAACCTGACTGAAAAACCTAACTGCAAAACCTAACTGAAAAAACCTACCTGAAAAAACCTAACTGAAAAAACCTAACTGAAAAAAACCTAACTGACAAAACCTAACTGAAAAAAACCTAACTGAAAAAACCTAACTGAAAAAACCAAAAAAACTTAAAAAACCTAAATCTCGAGAGTCTTGTCATGGATATCTCGCTGAAGGACTTCCCGAGTTTAGGTTTTTTAGGTTTTTTCAGTTAAGTTTTTTCAGTTAGGTTTTTCCGTTCGGCCTCGGGCACACTGTCTGAAGCTGTTTGAAGCCAAGTGCTCAGTATACACATTCTGCGTTCTATATTCTCGATCGGGCCATATGGATGCGCTGTTTGAGCGCGCGTCGTCGCTTCCCGACGAGATGATCGCAGAGATTTGAGACTTTACTAAGATGTAAAGAAGGAGTATCGTGTAAGGTGTTCTATATGCTCCTGTTTGATTTCTTCATTGGGCACATAGCCTCCCATTAACCCGTTATCTATAAAGTATTCTACAAGGCATTCTATGGTGCAATTTACGGGTATATTATACAATGTTCCATAGGGTTATCTTTAGGACTTCCTCTGGGGTACTCAGAGGGTATCATAGACATTGTGAATATTCTGTAAGCTAGTCTGTCGGGGATTGCAGATGATATTCTACAAGGCCTACAAACTATAAAAGGCCTATGTATAAGGGATTGTACAAGGCATCAACATTAATATAAAGATTATCTTATAGAACGTATTCTATAACCTAATGTATAGGCTATACGGCTATAGGGTACTCAAGAAGGTATATATATGAGGTATATAGGGGGTATTCTATAACGTATTACCTAGGGTCACCTGCACGAAATTCTTTTAGGTTTGTGGTATTCTTTAGGATATTCTCTTCGACTCCTGGATCACTCCTAAAATCTCTTACCCAATAGGCTGCTTCTTTATGAGGGGTTCTCAGATCTTGGGCTCGTTGAAAGGTTATCTATAGGTATTCTTACTTCCCAAATACCTATGGGGGTGTAAAAAGTTTAAACTTTCGCAATAAGATTACCTTATTAGGGGCCAAGAGTTGGAAAGTTTGGTTTCGAGCCACTAAGTGTTATATGGGTTCAGGGTATATATACTGTATACAAGGACTGTCATGTATAGGGTCATCGGGGCATTCTGTAAGGTCTTCTATAGAGTATTCCAGACGGTCTTCCATGAGGCGCACGACATATAGAGGGTACTATGTGTTCCATAAAGTATTTTGTAAAATACTCTATATCGTATTCTGTGAGGTACTCTGGATATTCAAAAGATATACGGGCTATGACTGAAAGTATATGATAAGGTATTCTAGAGGCTCTAGGGTATTCAATAAGGCATGAGGGTATTCTATATCAATGCATTCCATATGAAAGATTTCAAGATACATAGAGAAAGTAACCAACAGGACATCCTATAAGATATTCTATATAGTGTCTTGTATAGAGTGTCCTATAGGGTATGTGTAATATAATGCGTGCGGTGTTATATGTGTTCAAGGTATATATACTGTATACATGGACTGTCATATATAGGGCCATAGGGGCATTCTGTAAGGTCTTCTATAGAGTATTCCAGGCGGTTTTCCATGAGGCGTACGATATATAGAGGGTACTATGTGTTCCATAAGGTATTCTGTAAGGTATTCTATGTCGTTTTCTGTAAGGTAGTTTAGATATTCAAAAGATATACGGGCTGTGACTGCAAGTATATGAGAAGGTATTCTAGAGGCTCTAGGGTATTCAATAAGGCATGAGGGTATTCTATATCAGTGCATTCCATATGAAAGGTTTCAAGATATATAGAGAAAGTAACCAATAGGACATCCTTTAAGATATTCTATATAGTGTCTTGTAAAGAGTGTCCCGTAGGGTATGTGTAATATAATGCGTGCGGGGTGTATCATGTATAGGTGGTCGTGTATGCGGTACGCGACAGGATATTCAGATGGATTTCTACAAGATATAAAGGTTATGAGAGTGGAATTTTTGCAAAGTATTCTAAAATGTAATCTAAAGGGTACTTTCTTGGTGAAATATTTAGTATTGAACCCTGAAAGGTTCGCTAGATTTCGTGATCACAGACATTATATATAATCTCGATGCGTCTTATATATGGGAGGTGTAGAAATAGGGCCCTCTTTTCATATCTATACTTGTCGTGATACTATATTATTATATGGGATGATATATCTTTGCTCTCCTATTGCGCGTTACCTTCAGAGCCCATACTGCTGCATGCAAAAACCTATTCACACACAGAACATGCATGCAAGCTTGCGTTCTTTTGCAATACGAGAAGAAGCCATACGCGAATATATGCCGCTTAGAAAAATTCAGGGTGTATATGAAAGAATATAGAATGTAGGATCTACGAAATCTTCGATGCAATCAAGCGTATTTAGTGAAGACTTGTAAAGAGAAGGGAATACATTATAGAATATCAATTATTTCGTATCCGACTCTCAAACACACGAAAAAAGTAGATCCTTGAGGGGGGGGGTAACATAAATATATATAAGAAAAATTATATTAGAAGATAGAAATTATTTTGAAATGATATTCCCCCATATCTTACCCCATCCGTTCAGAAAAAAAATCGACAATAGAAAATATTTTCATAAAATTCTATAAGAATAGAAAATATAAGAAATAATTACGAAATAGAGAATCACCATATATGCTAGCAAAGAAATCGTACCTCGGCGCGCAGCGAGAGTGAGATAAGAGAGAGAATGATGACGTCTATATAGATATGGCTCGTATCTTCTATTTCTTTTATAGAATATAAAACACCTCGATGAAACTTTTAAATTTTCCAGACAAAGACTTCGCAACTAATTCTGAAAATCAAACCGAGGAAAATCATGTTTGCCCAAAATCTACCGAAAAAACAAGACCAAACAAACTATCGTCTTGACCATGAAGAAAGCAGGAGGGAGGGGAGGGGGGGACCCCTATTTTGTTTGAGATATCAACGAAATGCAATGTTTTTGCTAGATCCCGGCTGAACTACTGTCGTAGACAGAAACGAAACACTAGCTAGCTAGCTTCCGTGATTTAGTTCAATCATTTTCATGAATTATACCGTCAAATATATCTTCTCCCATACAAAGTCCTTTTGCATGCCGCTTCGACCAAGTGATAGGCAGCAGTGGTTTCTTCTCTTTACAAGGATAGAAGACAACGTGCTGCCTGCGCGCTGCTGCGCCATAGTTCAGGCTGAGGCCCGCTGCCCTTCGAGTTGCTGTACTGCGGCAGCAGCAGGCCGACAGGCAATGTCTGAGGGAGCTCGCCAAATGCAATGGATGCAACTTTCCCAGAAAAGGCGGAATAAGTTGGCCCCCTCGTGGCTACAAAACCTGACACGAATTCTGGACACTTGGTACAGGATTCGGCACATTCCGCAGTGGCTTGGGGGACTTGTGACCCGAAGCAGCTACGGAGAAGTCACCTAAACCATGAACCTGTCATAGTTATAGCTTATAGCTCTTTGGATGACTCCTCAACACTCGTCAAGGAGAAGACCTCGGCCTGCCTGTCAGAGGCATAGGCAGTTTGCACAAAGGACGGGCCCAAGAACGACGTCTTGCGGGACTTGGACTTCTTGGCGAGAAGGGATTGAGGCTGGGGCGAGTAGCGTAAGCAGGAGAAGCCCTGGACGGGCCAGGTGGCTGCAATCCCTTGCATCCGAATCCACACCTCGCAGCGGCCTGCGGAGAATTCGATGCCCTTGCAATCAGAGCCCCGACCCACGCAGGACCACTTGCAGGCGTCCAATGACGTGTCTCCGACTACCTCGTAGTAGGTCACGGAGTTGTCTGTGGGAGTAGCTCCGCGACATGCCTGATTCTCGCCATTGACAGCTGCAAAACTTTGGAAGGTCCAGGGTCGGGCCAGGCAGGTGAAGCCTTCCAGAACGACGCTGGCCTGCATGGACGGACGATACGAAACCATACTGGCTGTGAATAACAAAACTATACTTGCTGGAATGTCGCACAAGCAAACAGCTGGAGGTAGCAAGAACATACAGAGACATCAGAAACAAGAAATGGCCTGGATGCCAGCGTCCCGAGTCCATACCTCGCAACGTCCTGGGGAGAATTCGATGCCTCGACATTCGGCATCTTCCAGGCAGGCTTCTTTGCAATCGAAGAGGCGATGTTTCGTCAAGACTTTCATATAGGACGGGTTGTTGTCGCCAGGAGTCGCTCCGCGACAGGCACGGTTCTCTCCGCCATCCACAGCTCGGAAGGCAAAGGCGCCGGGAGGCTCAAAGCGAAGGCAAGTAAACCCGTCCAAACTTTTCGTCGTCCCAATGCCACCCGGCTTTGTCCAAACCTCACAGCGCCCGACGGAAAACTCAATGCCAGTGCAAAAGGGATTTGCGAGACATGCCGACTTGCACGTCTCCAAGGAGGAGGACTCTTCAGCCGAATAGTAGCTGGGATTGTTGTCGTTGGGATGGGACCCACGACAAACCCGATTCACTCCCCCCTCGGCAGGCTGGAAGCTGGCCGACGCTGAATCCACTGTTGTGGAGGGCACCGGGCTGGAAGTAGACGTCGTAGTCGTGGTGGTTGTGGTGGTTGTGGTGGTGGTGGTGGTGGTGGTGGCGGTGGCCGTGGTCGTGGTCGTGGTCGTGGTGGTGGTCGTGGTGGTGGCAGCGGTGGTGGTCGTGGTGGTGGTCGTGGTGGTGGTGGTGGTGGCCGTGGTAGTGGTCGTGGTGGTGGTCGTGGTGGTGGCAGCGGTGGTGGTCGTGGTGGTGGTGGTGGTGGTGGTGGTGGTGGTGGTGGTGGCAGCAGTTGCGCCGCTGGTTGTCATGGACCCCAGCTCGCCGTTTGGATAGTAGACGGTAACCTTGGCCTTGTTGATGGCCTGAGGAGTCAGGCCGTAAAGATACTCGCCGGCTTCAGGCGCCTCTTCGGACAAGCGGGGTTTTGGACTGTAGGGCCAGACTCCGTTGGGGCTGCCGGGAGGGCCGTGGCTGCCAGTGACATCAGGGTGCCAGCTTGTGACCCAAACGACGGCCCCGTCTGTGGTGGTTGTCCAGTCCTGGTAGAGCGGCCAGTGCGTGTGCTGGGTGACATCCAGCTTCTCCGTGACCTGCCCAAGAACAGCCACAGAGCATTTTTCAATCCGCCATGCATTCTTACGACCCACGCCTCGTTGCAGTCGCCATCGAGTTCAACGAGCCAGCGTGTGCGATCCGGCCTTTCGTAGCCGAAAAGAAATCGGGCCTCCGGGCCACATGTCGGGTTTTGCTCGGAAGTCCCTAGGGGTGCGAGGCGCAGCATGCGTCCCGGTGCCCCATCGCCACAATTGCCACCACTGGATCCACAGGGCATCTTCGCCACTGCCTCATCGATGACCTTCCAGATGTTAATCTCGCCGAGCCGTGTGATCTGCGCGCAAACGTTGCCCTTGTCCGAAGGAAACGCCAGGATCCAATCCTCCCCACATGGCCGAATGGCATTGGCTTGCAAGGCTTTGTCGGACTCATCGTCGCCGTAGCCATAATCATAGCCTTCATCCTGTGGAAACTTCAAATCCATGCCGCCTTTGTGCCCTACATACCGGAAGTTTCCGGCGGGCGACATCCCGATGGGCTCCTGCGCCAGGCCATACTGCTGCATTCTTGCAGGGCCATACTCGTGCTTGTAGAGGCCAATGTCCTTCAAAAGAGGGTGGTATGCCCAGGCCGCTGACTTCTGGTGATCGCCTGTGCCCGTGCGGTGGTAGTCCCGCCAAGGACCATCCGCTTCCTGGCGGGGCTCCACCATGTCCCGAGGCACTGGGTACTTGTAGGCCGCGTACTCCTCGTCGCTGATCCCTGGCGCATCGCGGTGGTAGGTGTGCATAGCATAGCCGGTGTGGTGATCTACAGTGGCCCCGTACCAGGCCGTCCACATCCGCTGTTCCGGGGCATACAGCAGGTAGCCGTAGCCTGCGGAGCGCTGAGCCCACCATGCAGACGTGGGATAGCTGCCCCATATTCCCGTGTTTGGGGCAGTGACTGTCTCCTGGTATTGCTTGCCAATCTGCCACGGCAACCTGTGCTTCTCCATGGTGCTGCTGTTCACTTCGCACACAGCCACCACCATGGCCACTTTGTCCAAGTGGCTGTTCTTGTTATCCACCCAAGGTTGCCAGTACTTGGCGCAGATTGTGCCCAGGATTCCGTCTTCTGTCATATCAATGCCGCCTGCACGGACGAAGCCTTCAAAGGCAAAGCTCTCCTCCAAGACAGGTGCACCTTTCCAAGGCACCTTGAGCTTGCTGACGTAGACTCGGCCCTCGCTGCCCGGCGCAACGTCAGGCCTGCCATACGGAACGTCTGCTGTCCAGGAGAAGTACACGTAGTCCGGCCGCACCTTGTCAGAAACCGTGCTCATCTGGGAAGGCCCGCGGAAGAGGTTGCCATGGCGAGCCGGGCCAGCGATGAGCTCGGGCAGGCACACAGTGGAGACCGTCAGGCGGCCCGACACCATGTGGTCCTCATAGCAGCCTCAGCTCCCAGGCTCCGACAGGACACCGACACACTATGGTTTCAGAATGCCTCCGACTCCGGTTGCTTTTTCTCTGTAGATTTATGAGTTTGAGTTTATCTTGTTATGTGTGTATGTGTGTGTCGCATAGAATCCGAGAAAATCCAAGGAGCCGAATTGGTCCAGCTCGGGGCTGATGTTGCAGTGCTCACCGTGGTAGCCATTGATGCAGGTGCAAATGCCAGTCTCGTTGCAGAAACCCCCGAAGGGTTCGTTGCAGTTTACTGTTGCGCAAACGCCAACCTCACAAGAATCGCCTCCCACTCCTTCATCACAAGCACACGCCAACAGGCTCTGTGGTTCCTCCGTTTCAAACTGGTTCGGGAGAAGCGACGTCCACCTCGCCCCCCATCCGCCCTCCAACGTTCGATCATAGAAACTCGAGGCAGTGCACAAGCCCTTGCCACAGAACCTCGGGGCAAAGCCGGGCGTACTTCAAAGCTTTGACGTTTTTTTTTGTCGTGTCCTCGCCTGCCCTCGCATTCGCCGCAGCCCTCCGTGGACTTGACAAACTCCAAGGTTGAGAACCTGGCCTGCAGAAGGCAGCAGCGGTAGTGGTGGCGGTGGTGGCACTATAGTAATAAAACTTATTCTGGTAAGCATAAGACAGCAGTATCCACAGTCTTGAAAGCAATTAGCAATTATTTCTTTCTCGATGCGAGCCTCGCCTGGGGCTTATTGCTGTCCTTGGCCACGAGTGAGACCTCGATCATGCCAGCCCTTGTGGGAATGCACTTAAAGTCGTAGATGTCCGTGTGGTGATGAGCCCACTTACCGACATAGTCCTCTTTGACAGTCTTCCCATTGATCACAATGTCCCACTTCTTTCCACCCCTGTCTTTCGTTTCACAGAAAGTGTACCTGACGGTGTAGAAACTCACCGGAGCATCGGATGCCTGGAGGTTTACCCGAAAAGTCTGATTCGTCCAAGTGCTCTCTCTGCTGTAGTGGTGCAAAAGAGCATCGTAGTCTTGATCGTAGCTTGGAGGCCAATTGCGGCATGTGTGCTTGCCCAGGGTCTCGTTGCCATCGATCCAATTGGCTCGAAACCATGCTTTGGGCTTCGCGCCAATGTAGCCGCCCCAGGTGTATGCGCTGTAAGGCGTCTCAGAATTGTACCACAGCCGTCCTAGGCTGTCGTTGTAGTTCCCCGCATACCCGCCGTTGATGCCCAGCCAAGCCTCGCCTGGACCTTGAGGGCTCTGGTTTGTAACTACTTTGGACCAGGCCCCGGGAACGGAGAGGCATCCGAACACCAATGCAGCGAACGCCCCATGGGTCATCACCATTGCGCCACCAAGCTAGAACGGCATGAGCTGGCAGTCGCTCGGGCCATAGCTTGTGGATTCAGCTGTCGGAACAAGCCAGCATCGCTGCACAGAAGACAGCACTCTTGGATAGCTGTAAATGAATCGGGTCCCTGAACGAACAGCACTCGCAGAAAGCACTCGAACTTGGGCACATGCTGGAATGTGCACTGGTCAGGAGCTCAACAGAATGCATCCAAGTATCAATGAAGCACCATCTCAGCTACACCCTCATCCGGCTGCACCGCCAGCACATGCCAGCACCATTTACCATGGTTCAGGCAACTGAAGAGCGGTCACAGGTACGACGATCCACATCCGACGGATCGTCTGAATTTTCGGTGGAAGAGTTAAAAAAACGTGAGGTGATCAGAACCGAGGATCACCAGATTCAACTTGGGTCGTCGTCTGAGCATTGGGAGGTCGGGCAAGGGGGGGCTTGGATGCCTCCAATCTAGACACCGGCGGCAAGTTCGAAATGTTCGTTGCTTTTGATAGTTTTATCCGCCTGCTGACACGTGGCGAGGTTTTGCAAGGCTAGGGCACCCGCATAGAAGTCACACTGCAACCGGATCCACTCAAGTCGAGTTCAGTGTGGAGGAATTGTGACGGCATTTTGGTTGACCCTTTGAGCTCTCATGTCATGGAAAAGAACAAAAGCCGCACCCCTGGATTTTCCTGGGTTATTTTGTATTTAGCTGGAGGCCCACGCGTTTGCTGCAAAGGTGTGTCGAGATTGACTTTTTGTAACCCAAACCCAACTTGGCATTTTGGGTCATCTGGTACTCGGCTTGTTCATGACTGACAGAATGCACTTGGCCGATGAATCCGACGTCCAATCCTGCCTCTAGCGCTGCCTCGTATTTCACAGGTAGGAGTTGATATGAGCTGGTCGAGCTGCTGCCAAGTCGTGCGAAGTCTGCGCTGCTGTCACGTGAACCAAGATTCTGCCAACCGTTGATCCGTCATCACTAACGCGCAGTTTAAAGCACGATCCAACAAGATGATGCTCTTCGACAGGCGCAAACTCAGTCGGAGAAACAGTCGCCAAGATGCCACGTCAGAAAAATCAGCTTGGCTCAAGCTTGCTGAGTCAAAGACCCAGCTAGTAGCTGCTGAGCCCACATGCCGTGGTGTTGTTTTCGCCTCGGACGATGCCTGCCCGGTTGCATCAGCTGCTGCTTTCAAGACAAACAAAGAATGGCGCGTTTGATGACCGGCTGGAAGAAAGCCTCCAGAACGTGCGCGAGCGCGAGTGTCTTGTGAGCACGACGGTGCACAAATCAACAAAGCCTGAGAGATTCATCATATCCTCGTTGCACTTTCGCATGCTTCTGTAGGTGCGTATGGCGTATCTCTAGGTTCCATGGCCGGCTGCTGCGTCTACTTCAAGTATTATTGGCGCCCGCATGGCTAGTCGTAGCTACAAGTAGCTCCACGAGTCCGCTAGAACACTGGGTTCTTAGATGAGTGACAGGGTTTGGGAGCTTGGGGTCAAGCGCCGCGCCGCAGAAGCTTTCCTTTGCCGCTTTATTACAACTAGATTTTGGGGTTCAGGTCTCATGGATTTTAGGCAATAAATGCTGTAGACGTAGGACGAGCCTGCCACTAGTAATTGGCACATTGTCTGGTCTTTCTCGTCGGTCCTCAGGGTGGTGACACAAAGTCGGGCGGAAAAAACGCTCAGAAGACTTATCGATTTCGAATGATTCGTGCCAATGCGGCCCTCCTCGGCATCTGAAAAAAACCTGGAAGCCCTTCTTGGCCTGCTGGCTTGCTCTGCTTCGCCACAAGCTCTTCCTCCAAGATGCCGTGCAATCTAACCAAGCAAAGCTACAACACACCCTGCTCACAGCTGAGAATCGGAAATGCGATTGAACACTTGTTGAATCCCAAAGAAGATCTCAAACAGAGGCTGCGCCAACACGCGCTGTCGCCTCAGAAGACCAAGGAAGCTCGGCGGCTGGCGTGGCGGACGGCGCAGCCTTCTCAAACAAGCCGGGAACTGTTGAAAAAGGACCAATGTCTTGAGATTTAGACACGCCAGCTCTGCCGAAGAGAGACCGATAGATTCGAAGATGCGCCTCCAAGTAGCGTTTCATGTCCTCCTGCAAACATCCGACCCTCCGAACTCTCGCTGCTACCGCAGCCGCTTAGAGAAAAAAGCTGCGTCCTTTGTAGCCGAGACGGACTGGCCCCTGGCCTCCCAAGAGAAACGGATGCGAGAGTGAACGTTCAAACGAGAAGAAGATGCAGTGTGCTTCTCGCACGAGTCCGCACCTTTCCCCCGGCAGGCCTGCATCCACTCGTCGGCAGTCATGGGATTTATCTTGCCCGCGACGTGAGGGTACGGACACCTGGGCAGGGCTTGCTTTCCAAGCTGATTCTTCTCGAACACGTGCGTGTCAGCGGCGCTAAGATCGGTGCTCACGCGGATAGGCATGGTGCCTCAAAGGAGCCCCCTTCTTGACCATGTGTTGATCCCGACCAGCAACACGACACGTCTTAAGAACAGAGCAGCCACTGTGCGAAGAGGCGCCCATGCCTGGAAGCCAAGCACATTCTCACTTGGAAACGTCACTGCGATCGTCAAGGCTGTCAAGGAGCAGCGGGACAGCACCACCATGTTCCCTGGCAACCTGCCCAGTCGATCTTTACCACAAGTGAACCCACGGGACTCGGACATGAATTTGCCTATGAACGACCGAAGACTATGAGTCGACAATATGTTCCACCATAGACGACCACTGACTGGGCTCGTGAACCGATCTCGCATGGCGAGCCATTGCCGACGCTTTCCCGATCGAGGGTTCTTGCATGCGTGCAAACCAAGGCCCATCCTCACCAAGACGATCTGCCAATGGACGCGAGAGCCTCACTCGGACTCTCGCGGCGGGTGACTGCTCATGCCACATGCCGTACATACGGTACATGCTGTGCATGCTGCGCATGCAGTACATACATACATCGGTCCACCCACCCACCCATCCATCCATCCGTTGGTCCATCCATCCATCATAAATCCATCCATCCATGTATCCATACACACCGTTGAGAAAACATCTGCGCAAACATGTAATGAACAATCATACACGTGTACATGCGGAGATCAACACAGATATGTTTCTACACCTGCATAAGTACGTGTGCTTCGCAGCAGTTGTTGCATACACTGTATGAATGTTCGTTGTCAGTGTCGAAGCATAGTCGAAGAAATCTTGGTCGTAGCACTAGTACTAGTGGCAGTAGCAGTCGCGTTAGTAGTAGTGTTCGTCGTCGTAGTAGTAGTAGTAGTAGTAGTAGTAGTAGTAGTAGTAGCGGATAGTAGCGGTAGTAGTAACCGAATTGCAGTTGTAGTTGTTGCTTTGGACTTTTTGGGTCTTTTCGGTCCTTCAGGATACGAGTCAAGTACTCCGGGGGACTCACAACAGGGTCTTATTTCAGAGCAAAGCCCAATACGGATTTGGGGACATGCCGAGGCGCTCTCGTGGAGCACGGATGGCGGCGGAGGGCAATCCAGCCACGATCTCCAAAATCTTTTCGGGAGCGGCCTCTGCTTGCATCCAGCCAACACAATCAGTTCTGCGGCATGACAAGCCTCCGGTGCAGCCACTTTGGCTTCAAGGTGCCCCAGCAACGCCTGCCAGCCCAACGGCCCACCAAGCCAGATCTGACAATGACAAGCATGACTAGGGACTTCTTCCATCGCGCCTCACACTCATTGATGCAGCACACCGAGTAAATACTGGATGATGCCACGCAGTTCGAGTGAGAGTTGACGTAGTTTGGAATGAACACCGCCAGATTTGATGGATCTGACCTTGGTAGCAACTACAGTACCTCAACACTTCATGGTAACAATAAGCTCTGGTTGGACTGACGATGTTCATGGATTTTGCAATTTGACACTAGGTGAGAAATCTATCAGCGGATGCTCAGATCAAACGCATATATCCGGTCCGGTAGCTCCGTAACCTGCAGAAACTTTTCTCAGCTGATGCTCTTTCGGCGAACCCGCATATGCACTCCAACTTTGCGATGCGTGCGGAATCTAAAGATCCTGGCGTGAGCTCTTGCAGCCCCGGATAATGGGGGAGCAGGTCGGAACCTAGCCCTGCACATGGAAGGTTCCGGGATACTTCCGAGAGCGAATCTTCGCTTCGACTCAAGACAGAGTCTGTGTGCCATGCCATTGCATTTCTAGCGCCATGGATCTTCAGGGCGAGATTAAACACACAGAGCCAATTAGTCCTGCCTTTCGCACAATCCTTTCACAAGAGTATTCGGTGCCCTGCATCCCACAAGAGAGAAGTATCTTCTCACTAAAGAACTTCTTTTGCTCGTGGTGTCCATGTCCCTTCGATTGATGGGCAACAGCGGTCTTCCAAGCTTTACAAGGATTGAAAACTCTGAGCTGCTGCGTGCTTCTGCGCATAGTTCAGGCTTTAGCCCAGGCCCGCTGCCGTTCGAGTTGCTGTACTGCGACAGCAGCAGGCCAAAGACGAGGGATGTGGGGGAGGCCTCCAAACACACAGTACGGATGCAACTTCCACAAAACTGAATAGGTCATTAGGTGGTGGAGACGATTCCCCCTCCTAGCCACAAAAATTGACACAGAAGCTCGGCGAGATTCCGCAGTGGCTCCGGGGACTTGTGACCCAAAGCAGCCACGGAGAAGTCACCTACACCATGAACCTGTCATAGTTCGTTGAATGACTCCTCAACACTCGTTCCGTTAAGGGACTTCTTGGTGAGCAAAGATTGAGGATGGGGCGAGTAGTGCAGTAATGAGAAGCCATGTGCGGGCCATGTGGCTCGCTCGATTCTCGACAGTCTCGAATCTGGCTGGCTCTGAATCCACAGTGGACGTGGGTACCAGGCGTGCCGTGGACATACTGGTGGTGCCAGCGGTGGTGGTGGTGGTGGTGGTGGTGGTGGTGGTGGCAGTGGTGCTGGCAGCAGTTGCGCCGCTGGTTGTCATGGACCCCAGCTCGCCGAGAGGATAGTAGACGGTAACCTTGGCCTTGTTGATGGCCTGAGGAGTCAGGCCGTAAAGATACTCACCGGCTTCAGGCGCCTCTTCGGACAAGCGGGGTTTTGGACTGTAGGGCCAGACTCCGTTGGGGCTGCCGGGAGGGCCGTGGCTGCCAGTGACATCAGGGTGCCAGCTTGTGACCCAAACGACGGCCCCGTCTGTGGTGGTTGTCCAGTCCTGGTAGAGCGGCCAGTGCGTGTGCTGGGTGACATCCAGCTTCTCCGTGACCTGCCCAAGAACAGTCACAGAGCATTTTTCAATCCGCCATGCATTCTTACACCCCACGCCTCGTTGCAGTCGCCATCGAGTTCAACGAGCCAGCGTGTGCGATCCGGCCTTTCGTAGCCGAAAAGAAATCGGGCCTCCGGGCCACATGTCGGGTTTTGCTCGGAAGTCCCTACGGGTGCGAGGCGCAGCATGCGTCCCGGTGCCCCATCGCCACAATTGCCACCACTGGATCCACAGGGCATCTTCGCCACTGCCTCATCGATGACCTTCCAGATGTTAATCTCGCCGAGCCGTGTGATCTGCGCGCAAACGTTGCCCTTGTCCGAAGGAAACGCCAGGATCCAATCCTCCCCACATGGCCGAATGGCATTGGCTTGCAAGGCTTTGTCGGACTCATCGTCGCCGTAGCCATAATCATAGCCTTCATCTTGTGGAAACTTCAAATCCATGCCGCCTTTGTGCCCTACATACCGGAAGTTACCGGCAGGCGACATCCCGATGGGCTCCTGCGCCAGGCCATACTGCTGCATTCTTGCAGGGCCATACTCGTGCTTGTAGAGGCCAATGTCCTTCAAAAGAGGGTGGTATGCCCAGGCCGCTGACTTCTGGTGATCGCCTGTGCCCGTGCGGTGGTGGTCCCGCCAAGGACCATCCGCTTCCTGGCGGGGCTCCACCATGTCCCGAGGCACTGGGTACTTGTAGGCCGCGTACTCCTCGTCGCTGATCCCTGGCGCATCGCGGTGGTAGGTGTGCATAGCATAGCCGGTGTGGTGATCTACAGTGGCCCCGTACCAGGCCGTCCACATCCGCTGTTCCGGGGCATACAGCAGGTAGCCGTAGCCTGCGGAGCGCTGAGCCCACCATGCAGACGTGGGATAGCTGCCCCATATTCCCGTGTTTGGGGCAGTGACTGTCTCCTGGTATTGCTTGCCAATCTGCCACGGCAACCTGTGCTTCTCCATGGTGCTGCTGTTCACTTCGCACACAGCCACCACCATGGCCACTTTGTCCAAGTGGCTGTTCTTGTTATCCACCCAAGGTTGCCAGTACTTGGCGCAGATTGTGCCCAGGATTCCGTCTTCTGTCATATCAATGCCGCCTGCACGGACGAAGCCTTCAAAGGCAAAGCTCTCCTCCAAGACAGGTGCACCTTTCCAAGGCACCTTGAGCTTGCTGACGTAGACTCGGCCCTCGCTGCCCGGCGCAACGTCAGGCCTGCCATACGGAACGTCTGCTGTCCAGGAGAAGTACACGTAGTCCGGCCGCACCTTGTCAGAAACCGTGCTCATCTGGGAAGGCCCGCGGAAGAGGTTGCCATGGCGAGCCGGGCCAGCGATGAGCTCGGGCAGGCACACAGTGGAGACCGTCAGGCGGCCCGACACCATGTGGTCCTCATAGCAGCCTCAGCTCCCAGGCTCCGACAGGACACCGACACACTATGGTTTCAGAATGCCTCCGACTCCGGTTGCTTTTTCTCTGTAGATTTATGAGTTTGAGTTTATCTTGTTATGTGTGTATGTGTGTGTCGCATAGAATCCGAGAAAATCCAAGGAGCCGAATTGGTCCAGCTCGGGGCTGATGTTGCAGTGCTCACCGTGGTAGCCATTGATGCAGGTGCAAATGCCAGTCTCGTTGCAGAAACCCCCGAAGGGTTCGTTGCAGTTTACTGTTGCGCAAACGCCAACCTCACAAGAATCGCCTCCCACTCCTTCATCACAAGCACACGCCAACAGGCTCTCTGGCTCCTCCGTTTCAAACTGGTTCGGGAGAAGCGACGTCCACCTCGCCCCCCATCCGCCCTCCAACGTTCGATCATAGAAACTCGAGGCAGTGCACAAGCCCTTGCCACAGAACCTCGGGGCAAAGCCGGGGCAAACCGGGCGTACTTCAAAGCTTTGACGTTTTTTTTTGTCGTGTCCTCGCCTGCCCTCGCATTCGCCGCAGCCCTCCGTGGACTTGACAAACTCCAAGGTGGAGAACCTGGCCTGCAGAAGGCAGCAGCGGTAGTGGTGGCGGTGGTGGCACTATAGTAATAAAACTTATTCTGGTAAGCATAAGACAGCAGTATCCACAGTCTTGAAAGCAATTAGCAATTATTTCTTTCTCGATGCGAGCCTCGCCTGGGGCTTATTGCTGTCCTTGGCCACGAGTGAGACCTCGATCATGCCAGCCCTTGTGGGAATGCACTTAAAGTCGTAGATATCCGTGTGGTGATGAGCCCACTTACCGACATAGCCCTCTTTGACAGTCTTCCCATTGATCACAATGTCCCACTTCTTTCCACCCCTGTCTTTCGTTTCACAGAAAGTGTACCTGACGGTGTAGAAACTCACCGGAGCATCGGATGCCTGGAGGTTTACCCGAAAAGTCTGATTCGTCCAAGTGCTCTCTCTGCTGTAGTGGTGCAAAAGAGCATCGTAGTCTTGATCGTAGCTTGGAGGCCAATTGCGGCATGTGTGCTTGCCCAGGGTCTCGTTGCCATCGATCCAATTGGCTCGAAACCATGCTTTGGGCTTCGCGCCAATGTAGCCGCCCCAGGTGTATGCGCTGTAAGGCGTCTCAGAATTGTACCACAGCCGTCCTAGGCTGTCGTTATAATTCCCCGCGTGCCCGCCGTTGATGCCCAGCCAAGCCTCGCCTGGACCTTGAGGGCTCTGGTTTGTAACTATTTTGGACCAGGCCCCGGGAACGGAGAGGCATCCGAACACCAATGCAGCGAACGCCCCATGGGTCATCACCATTGCTCCACGCCACAATCCCAGCCTGAGGTAAGCCTCTAGGTAGATCTAGACAGAAATTGCTAAAAGTACTGCTTCTGCTCATCTTAGTGCTGTCGCAGCCGCTGCTGCTGTGCTGGCTGCCACTACAGCTACTACTACAAGAACTATAACTAGTGCTACTGCTACCACTGCTACCACCGTCACCGCGACGACTAACACTTTCTACTACCGCTAGCGCCTACTAGCTACTGACTCTGAACTGACTACTACTAGTAACGACTTGCAACAACGATACTACTGCTACTACTACTACTACTACTCCTGCTGCTGCTGCTAATCCTACGAAGACGACTACTGCTACCACTACTATTGCAACTGCTACTACTACTACTGCTACTACTACTACTACTACTGCTACTGCTACTGCTACTGCTACTACTACTACAAATGCTACTGCCATTACCACTACTACGACGACGACTACTACTAACTACTACCACCACCACCACCACCACCACCATGTTGATACTGGTGCCTACTCCTGCTCCTCCTGCTACTGCTGCTACTGCTGCTACTGCTGCTACTGCTGCTACTGCTGCGACTGCTGCCACTGCTGCTACTGCTACCACTGCTACCACGGCTACTACTACTACTACTACTGCTGCTACTACTACTACGACCACTACTACTACTACTACTACTACTACTACTACTACTACTACTGCTACTAGTGCTGCTGCTGCTACTACTACTACTACAACTACTACTACTGCTACTGCTGCTGCTGCTACTTTTTGGCTCCCACTTGTCGGACTCTTGCGATCCCGCACGGCAGGCAACACGTCTCTCACGATGACACAGGACTCCAAAACTCCCCGTACAAATGCACAACGACATGATGTAACCTTTGCAGCAAGCTTGCCAACGAAATGTACAGGGGGTTCTGCAATGCTGTGCTTGTGGGCTAAAGGAACAGCTGCTTCAGCCCGAGTTCAAGGCAGTACTTCAAGGGGACAGACTCTTCGCACAGTTCTAGTGCAAAAACAAGGTGCCACTCAGCAGTCCAGACATTTGTAGCCAGTCCCACTCAGGCAAGGGTCACAATACAACTGGTTCAACACAGCTAATGCAACTCCTACAGCCACAATGCAGGAAGACCTGGCCCGGCTTTGGTTTCAGGGTGACGGCTGCTGTTGAACACACAAACAAACACGTACACAAATAACGCATGCGCTACTATTAAAAGTCAGGTCCAGCTCTACCGCATTGCACTGTTCAGCACTGCAAGTGGGTGCCGACTGTCGGTTACTTTGGCAAGGTCTCCACTCTACTGCGTGTCGCCACTCAGGGTGTCAGACTCGCCCGTCCATCACTTTCCGTCGCACGGGTACTTCTGTCGGGAGGCAGCTTGGCCAGCACAGAGAGCAAGCGCAATGCGCAGTGCATCCCCCAAGGCAGTTTGGTCCGGGACATCGTGTCATCACGGCGGGCGTAGTCAGGGACCAGGGACCAAGCTCTCTCTCTCCCAGAAGCCATTATCGTCGACCATGTCCGGCCGTTGTCACAGTGCTCTAGCCAGCCACATGCCGTGGGGGAATGCCAGTAATCCATCCAACCAAGAGGACTGTCCAGCAACGGTGTCGACCAAAACTCAAGCAATGGCTACAACCTGGTGATGCCAGCATGAGCCAAGCTGTGCGGGCCAAGTTGCGTGGAGTCTCACACCGCAGACTTCAGCCAGGTTCTGTCCCTTGCTTCGGCATCCGTACCAGTGGTGGTAGTCAGTATCCAGTCCACTGGCGGCGGCATGGAGTGTCAGACCAGATCATGTCAAGTACGATTGCAGCGCCGGCAGATCCACATATAGCAACAACAGCGTGTTGCATTCCGTCCCAGAGTCTCAGGAATCTGTATCCACGACGGCAGAGACATATAGCAAAAACAGCGTGTTGCAATCCGTCTCAGAGTCCCAGGAATCTGTATCCACGGCAGAATCGGTCTTCAGTCTCAGCATGGGCAACCCAGTGTACTGTGCCGACAGCGCGATTTGGACTCCAGAGTGAGGTGACTCACCAGTTCGCGGGCCATGGTAGCACAAACGCAGGTTCGTGGTTTGATTAGGGGGGTCAAAGCCCGGGAAAGTATATGAACATCGGGGTCTAGAATCCCAGAGGCCGCGACCGGACGACAGAAGGACAGGAAATCTCAGAGGAGGTGAGACAAAGGAAGGAAGGAGCAGTGCAGGGCAAGGAGGGCAGTACTGCTACTGCTACTGCTAATGCTACTGCTACTGCTACTGCTACTACTACTACTACTACTACTACTACTACTACTACTCACTCCTGCTGGTGCTACGACGACGACTACCACCACCACCACCACCACCATGTTAATACCGGTGCCTCCTCCTGCTCCTGCGCCTCCTTCCTCCTTCTCCTATTCTCTCTTCCTACGGCTACTCCTCTGCTACTACTGCGACTTCGACTGCTACTGCCACTACTACGACTGCTACTACTACCACTATTACTTCCACTTCTACTTCCACTACTGCTACTGCTACTGCTACTGCTACTGCTACTACTACTGCTACTACTACTACTACTACTACTACTAATGCCACTGCTACTACGACGACGGGCACAGCTGCCACCACCGCCCCTTCGACGGGACAACTACTGACTGCTGCTACTGCTACTGCTGCTGCTGCTACTACTACTACTAGTACCACTGCTGCCACCGCGACCACTACTGGTAGCACTGCTGCGATCCCGTCGACTGGAGCTGGCGAGTTGGATGCTTGGGCCACAGCTTGCGGTCTGAATCAGCTCACCCATGACCGTGCAGGAAGCGTGCTGCCAGTTTCCATCTACTTAACCACAGTAGGCGGAAATCGACACATGCTGGAATGTCCTCCTGCTCCGCTGTCCATGGCGGTTTCTACTATCCCGATCGAGCTCGTAATTCCCGTGACATCCCGTGACACATCTCAGTTGCACTCCCTTCCGACTATACCGCCGGCCCCACATACCATCGCAAAACATAGCGAAGCTTTTCGGAAGTCCTCAGGCAACTCAGGTGACAAGAGCTGCCGAGATGTATTGGGACCGAATGGACTTTACAACAATCAACACGCCCCGTCTTCAATGCCAAGTGGAATGCGTGGAAACAGGCAACATACGGTATTGTCACGGGCTAAACGATCACCATCCGAGGCTGCACCATACCGACGTATGGCCTGAGTTCACAGACTGTGCGCAAAGTAACCAATGCAGGCATGCAGCTTAATTTTATCCCCTTGACTGGAACATGGCTGTTGACATAGTCGTTCTTACGGTGTGGCGTGAAAGGACCCGGAAAAGAACCTGTCGCGGCCCATACGAGTACAGGCAGTAAACATCTTGGACCGTGAACTCGCACTTGTCTGGTGTTGTCATAAGTCATGAATACTCTGCGGGCAAATGTTTCACGTTAATGCTCACAAGACTCCTACAAGTACGCGTCTACTTGCGGATGATACCTGGCTCACTACTCTTTTCGGCCATAGGACCGCATAGCTCCGACGGTCTTCATACCAATGCTGGTTGCCAAAACTGCCACAAGTTCCTCTCGCTTCGCAACCTCCTGAGTGGGCATCACGACATCTCAAATAAAGCGTTAGTGTCCGCATTTCGGACCGTAGTGCAAATGTTTGGCCAGTTTGTCGTCTGTACTCTCGACACACATCCTTCGAAATCCGCAACAACCAAATAAGTATACAAAAAGGACTGTTGTGGCGTGTATACATAAGCAGTTTTTACAGGTTCAAGAGAAGCAATACCAGCCACAACAGTCCCATCTCAAGTAAGCGACTTACTTTACTAACTGCACCACGCCGGATCTAAAACAAAGCCCTTGTTCTAAAGCGAAGTCTTCCGTTCTGTACAATCAGCAAAGCAAGAAGTGATAAGCACTGAGGCGTCCTGGAGTAAGCCCAGAAACCTAAGATTCATAAAAAGGCAAAAAACAAAAAACACCAAAGAAACCCAACAAAAACACAAAAAACAAAGAAACCAAAAACAAAACAAACAACACAAACACAAAAAAACACAAAAGAACCAACCCCATACCTCCGGAGCCGCCCGGTGATATGGGGTAGATTCTTTTGTTTTTTTTGTTTTTTGTTTTTTTGGGTTTCTTTGTTTTTATGTTTTTTTTTTTTTTTTTGTTTTTTTGGTTCCTGCACAGGTACGCGCCTGTCAGCCGAGCCCCAAAAACAAAACAAACAACAAACATAACAGAAACAAAACAAACAACAACATGTGTTATGCCTTCCAGGGGTGTTCCTAAATAGAACAAAAACCAAAAGAAACAACACCAAAAACAACCAAACAAAAACAATATCAAAAAACAAGAAAACCAATACCAAAAAAGTTAAACACATATTTCGGAACTCTTTGCAATTATGCACACTTGTGAAAGAGTTCTATAATATTGTTTGTGTTTTTATCTTTGTCTTATTTTTTTGGTTATGTTGGTGATGTTTTTTAGAAACGGGTTTACTGTACTGGCTCTGATCTGCCTTGTCTCATGGCTCTGCTGGAGCTGCCTTGTTCGAGTCCAATATTAAATATTGCTGATGGTATGGCCTTCCCATAGCATTGCATTCCCATACACTGATAGATTCATGTGTTAACAAACTGATATATCAATATATTTAATGTATTCGAACAATAGTATATTTGTATACGTGTATATATATTGTTCTTCTATATAGGTACATTGGTGCATGAGCACAGTAGTATATTGGTGTATTAGTATGAAAACTTTAATTCATTAATATATTATTGGTATACCAGTATATGTACTATACTCTTATATTATCTAATACTGTACAGGCATATCAATATGTTCGCATAGTAGCATATCAATATGTCCGTATGCTTGCGTATTACACTTTTCGTATCCATCAGTATTTACGTAAATATTGATATTGGTATGAATATTGGCATTAATATTGGTAATAGTACTAGCATTAAAGCTAATATTAATGTGGTGATTTGTATTCGCAGGAAGGTTGCATTAGTGTTACTCTTGACTACATCAAAACTAATAGCGTATTGGTACATGAATGCGTTATGATATATATGTATTTAAATATAATGGTATGCATACGTATGTACATTAATATCTGCAGGTGTGTATTAGTATTGGCATAAATATACGTACTAATATCACTGTGAATATGATTATTGGTATGCACAGGGGCATGAATGTTAATATTAGCATTGGTAATATGCAGTATTATTCTCGACAAACATAGGAGTATATTAGGAGTGTCAAGACTTATATAAATATTGATATTTGAAAAAATACGGGCATTAGATTCTGACATGATTCGGCTTAGAACCATAACGGCTCCTGCTTCATCGCACGAAACAGCTTCATCAAAATACTATGTTATTCAACGCAATGTGTGTTTTCGCAGGGGGGGACTTCCCGCCTGGAACCTTCATATTGCTATAGCAACAACCGTGTTAGCAATACCATAACGGAAATGAGACTGTTTGCAACAATTACGCTAGAGAAGTGTCACTACAATCACAAAGACAACGGTGACAATTGAAATGACATGAAGGCCGTTTCAAAAAGAAAGGCCTTGAGCATCTGTATGAGAATCTGTCCTAAGACAAGCCTCATGAGCATATGTCGCTTCGTTTTGGGTGTTCTGCACATATGCGTCCACGTAGTTTTCCATGTCACATGTGTTGCCACAGAGACCGCTCGAAGCAAAGCATGCTTCTTCTGCTGCATCACAGGTAGCAACGAAGAAGTAGAAAATGCTTATCTTGTGCTTATCTTCCCACGCCACAACAGTCCCCTCTCTAAGTATAACAGCGAAGGGAGAAGACATGAGCCTACATTAAATCAAACATTTGAGGACTCGGCTGTGTAAAGCCGATTCTGGTTGGTAACAACAAATGATGAGACGGTCAAGTCAAGCTTCGTTGTAGCCTTCCTGACAATAAGATCGTGCAGATGCCCTTTGTTCCATGAGGTTCTGGACATGTTGATTCACCTTCGTGGGATAAAGCTGCCAGCCGTGGCGCCTCTTTTGAACACTTGCATGCCTTGTTGCCGTTGCTCACTCTTCTGCATCATCTGACGAGAACTGTGGCTCGTCATTGAAGCGTCGGTGGCCCCGAGCACCTCTCAGGCGCTTTCTCAACGCGTGAACCATTTCGTGATCTCACCATCGCTGGCCACTTGATCTCTGTTAGTCTCAGTCTCGAGTCCAACACCAATCTTAGCCACTTTTACTGTCACGGCCCTACTGCTTTTCTTGTCATTGTTGACTTCTGCTTCTGGCACTGAGCACCTTTGCGACGAAGGTAGCAATACAAGCAGGCCCCAGCCACAGGGATCAGAAGAGCAGCTGCCCATCCGAGAATCCTCGTGCTACGAAACATGCAACCAACCAACACTTCTTCGTGCAGTTTGTGGCAGGCCACACAACCACGGTGTCTAGGCACTTTGCACATGCAGTCATATGCCAAAACTCAACTCATAAACCAGCCATATATGTTCTACGCCAAACCTGCATGGAATGCTTCCGTGACGCCTTTGCTGCTGTAAATCTTTCACTGTCGTTGCCCCTCTGCAGCCACGATGCTGCTGGCCCGAGTTGCTTGAAGACTGCTCTGATGCGTCCTGAACTATATCTGGTCCTCGGCAAAGCTTTTCACTTACTGATTGAATGCGGCTTGGGAAGGCCCGAGACAGGCACCAAATCTCGCCTTGGCTGCGCCTGCGACAAATGACGGCACCAGGCGTGGCTGAAAGCCACTGCATGAGAACTATGCTTGTGCACTCCCGTCAGCCGTGCCTTTGGCTGGCTCATTCTTCTGCCCTGGGGCAACCGCGGACACTGCCAGGGATTCAGCCTCAGGTCTCTCGTGTTGATGAAGCATACATTTCTTAAGCTCAAACTTTTGAAGTGATCAGTGTCGACGGTGACACCATTGATTGCTACAACTTGGCCGAGATCGTCTGAGTTGTGGGGTGAGGCGGGTGGAGGTGGGGGGGCTGCTTCCGATATAGGCCGCGGCCAGAAGGCTTCGGTGTTCTTTGCCTTTATTGTTTTTGTTGTGCTGCTGAGCAGCGGCGAGGAACGCCTGCCTGCATGGATTCATACTGGTTGCCAAAATCGATCTGCGCATTTTGGAATTTTCTTTGCTCTGTTCGTGGCTGACAACACCCAGGTTGTAATTACAGAATGAAGAGCAGGCGAATCCTACTTAGTGCGGCCTCTTGGAAAAGTCAATGCCGAATCAAAGCAGCCAAGAGAAAAATCGGATGATGCGATTCTGGACGTTGGCTAGCCGGGCAGCCTGCTGCAAGGACAAACCGCTGTCCAATCCTGCCTCTAGTGCCGCAGCTTGTGCGGCGTAAGCTGTTTGCTGCCTCGGATTTCACAACTAAGAGGTCATATGAACTGATCAAACTGCTGCCAAGCCCTGCGAAGTCTGTGCTGCTGTCATGAGCAAGATTGTACCAACGGTCGGTCCGGCATGACCACAGTTATTCCAAACACGATACAAGAAGATAATGCTCTTCCACAAACGCAAACTCAGTCGGAGAAATCATCGCCGAGATGCTCTGTGAGAAAAATCAGCTTGGCTGCCTGATGTTGCTACATAGAACCAAGCAAGCGTCCTAGAGAATGGTTTCAAGCAAAGTCCCTGACCTTGGCCGCAGCTCTCGCAGCAGACTTTGCAGCTGCGAGTGCCTGTCAAGCTAGCTGGACCGGCAGCCTTATCAGCTTGCTCAACAAGAATTTGCAGGAGGTCACGGTTCCTCTGGGCAGAGGTCATGGCAGAGCTGTGCAGCTATGCATGGCACAGGCTTTGCTGATGCCATGGACGAATACACACCGGGCTGCAGACCTACCAGCAAACTGCCATGCCTGCTCGTCCTGTCGCGTCCCTGCCGATTTCTCTTGCTTCCTGACCTTTGCTGTTCAAGCACCGATATTTCAGCGCTTGATTGTTGGGGCACCTGCGGAAGTCGTTGGCAACCAAAACTTCAATTCTCAGTTGTGTTTTCGAGTGCGGCTATCCTGAGCAAGTACTGGGCCGGGCTACCCCATCGCGAACCCAGAATCCACAACTGACATACGAGTAGCTGGAAACTTGTCCCTGCATTGAAGGAGTGCAGTGGGTAAGGAGAAACTCACCACGTGCCGTGGTAAGATCACACGCAAACGCGTTGGCAACTCGCAGGTGGTCTACAACGACTTTGACGACTCGGTGAAGCTATTAGCAGCCCCGTAACTGAATCAAACGCTGATGGACAGAAAGTAGAAGAAAAGGTGAGTCGACTCAATTTTCAATATCTGTGCACGGGTTTAAACAACTTCCGTGCTGCAAGCTTGCTGAGTCAAAGGCCCAGTCAGCAGCTGCTGAGCCCGCTTGTTGCGGTGTTGCTTTCGCCTCGGACGCTGCCTGCCCGGCTGCGTCAGCTGCTGCCTCCAGAGAACTGGAGGCGGGACGGTAAGGTGTCATCACAAATGGACCGGATCCCCACATATCGAATCCAGAGCTTTTAGCAGTTGCAAATCAGCGCCCTGCGAGCACAATGACACTCACAATCGCCTGACCGATGATCGGTCTCATTGCAGAAGTGCAAGAAATTCTCACGATGCAGAACCACAAGATCTGTGCGATTTCGCTGCATTCCCATAAGACTTGCGTCGTGCCGAACTGGCGAAGGGTCTAACAGCGCTTTCCGGAACACAAACCCAACCCGTAGAGAGCAGCCACCATACCTGCATGTGCTCATTTGTTTCAGCGAATTTGTCGCTGATGCAGTCAATAGTAACGACGATTCCCAGGTCTGTTGCATTGTTCCGTCGGCGGTGAGTCAGCCCAAGCGTGAACGGGAAGGGTGACGTGGGGTCTACGCCTTCTTCGACAATGTTAACCAGTTCACACAACAACAGAAACTGCTCATCAAGCGAACAGGACATGCATTGTTGGCTGTGGTTCTGACTGTCACGGTGGTGCTTGGTGAGACTGGCTAGCCTGTCTAATCGCGAGACACTCTGTGTCAATATGTCATGGATGTCAACAGGATTGCTCATTAGAGGTCTATCGCTATCGTGGCCACGCTGCGTAGCTCTGGCGTTTCAGCATGCATATTGTCCATGCTAACCTGCAGCGTGCCCATCATGCTGACCTCGATGCTTTGGGGTTTTACCTCTGCAGCGTAAAACGCTTTGATTCGTTCGTGCTCATAGTGCGATACCTGGGTTTAGAGTTTTTGGGTTTGGAGTTGCCTGAACCTACAGGAAGTGGCTCGCAGGGTAGCCTTGGGCAACGCCACAGGACAGCCGAAAAAGCTACCGAGGTTTGGTGAATCCGACAGGAGCTCAGAAAAGCACTTTGGGGGGAGACCCGAAAAGAGCTTGAAATGCTGTTCAAATCCACATGGATTAGGGGACCCCTTCCCGCCTCAGTGCCTCTTGAGGGACCCGCCATATTTTACGTGTTGCTGTTGTGCAAAACCAGGATTTTTGGTCACTCGCACTCGACAAGGTCAGGCGAGGTTTCTGGACAATGACAACTCTACACGCTTCAAACACATTGGTTCGGCATTCAGCAAAACCCAGGATACATGTAGTAGTACTAGTGACCGCAGCAGTAACAGGAACAGTAAACACAATGGCAAAGCGAAGGACTAGCAGCAGTTCTGAATTAAATCCCCAACCCTGTAGTTGTTAGCACTCCAGAGTTTTGTGCTTTTTGGTACCCGTTTCATTTCTTTCTGATCTCGGTTTGATTTCTTGTTGATCCCTGTTTGAGCAGTCTTTGATGTTTGATGTCTCTGGTCATCCGTGCCTGCATGGCTGCGAGACTGTCAGTTCGCAATCTCAAGCACGCAAGCAGTACTTTGACAAGTTGTAGGCATGGCGACATCATTTAATGCCGCAACTTGCGTTCAAAGCGTTTGCCGATACCATGTATGAATGCTAGTTCTCGCTGTGGCGCAGAGCTTGGCTCTCGCAGTCCAGGACCGCTATGTCTACAACAACCTCCATGCGAGAATCAGATCTCACGGGTCCTTCTTATATGGCAGCCATCAACAGCCTATATACAGCGAGGGGCATGTTTGGCACGTTCGGCAGCGGCCCTCGCATTGATTATTTTTGCTTCCCATCAGCTCGTACCCCTTTCCGGGTACTTGTAAGAGAGATCACATGCCAGGACACAAACTCGTGTGCGACGATGGCACACGTCACTGCTGGTGCTTTCAGGAGTAAGCCCCCATCCGGGCAGTCCAAAACAGATGCTGGCATAGCGGCATAAATTTGGATTGCCTTCTTCCGCGAAGGAGAGGTGCGTTGATTGACTGCCTCTCGGAGGCACATCGGCCCGATCTTCATCAAAGCCTGCTGAGTATGCTGCTCCACTCGTTCGCCTGATCGTGTAGGCTTGAATGCATGGCCGTGCTCCTTCCGGGTGTGGGACGGTTGCGAAGATACTCGCCCATGGCCCATGAGTTTTAATTGACGTAAAAACACAGAGTGTTTTCCTGTGCATTTTCATCTCTGCCATATTGAGCTCTGCTGGCAGAAGGTTGAGTGAGTGACGACCGCAGCAGAACAACACACAAAAAGACAAGCAGGGGAACAGCGCAAACAATGATAATGATAACAACACACAGAAACATGCAGGCCCTTTGCAGGAATCTCAATCAAGGACAAGCACTCAACAACACCCAGTATAAACCCACGCCATAGAACATAATAGATTTGATTAAACTTGTCCATTCCACTCAAACTTTTGACTGCCGGGCCTCTGCCGCCTGCTCCCTTGACAAACCAGCTCGAATCGCAGCTCGGCCTGATAACATTGGTTCGCGAGCACAGATCTTGCCGAAATTCGTAGACAGCAAAGCCTGCAGCGGTGGCTGCAGCATTCACGTCGTCTGCAGCGCTCTTACCAGCTGTTCGCGCTGCTTCTGCAGCTGAAATCCTTGTGGAAAGCGGCTCCAAGAAGTTGGCTGTTTCGAAACAAGGCTTTGGCCTGGTCTGGACTCTAGCAAATTTGCGGTGCGGGCGAGACTCCCGGCTTTGGTTGCTTGCCCTGCTACTTCATGGACTCGCTCTGGTGTGAGCAGCGACTCCTCGATGGCCTCGACCTTCACAGCCCCAAAGCCCAGTAGGTGCACGCAGGTGCTGTGTGCAGAGGTCTGGGCTGTCAGAGAGCACACGCCGGCAGTTGTGCCACAGTGTCCCTCTTGACATAGGCATTTGCCATCGACGCAAACCTGAGATTGCAGGACAGGCAGGCTGGGTGGCATTTGGGATTTGGGTGCATGCGCTGCATTGATGTGCTGATATGTTGCAGTAGGCCCCCGGGACGGATCGCACAAGCCGAAACTGCACAAGCCACCAGTATTCCTCCAAGGGCTACACTCATCGTACTTCAATCTACGTGGGCATGCCAGCTTTGGTGCGAAATCTCAAAGGCCCAACCGGCCTGTTGCATGTCGTGTTCTGGAGTGCATGGCAGCCACAGCCTGCATGTACACGAGGCGGCTTGCCTATGTGAAAAGCACAGCCGAACACAGTTCAGTAAAGCAGCAGTTTCGCTCGGGGTAGTTGTGCATCTTGCCCATGGCCTCATGAATTTGTGCTGCGTGCTGCGTAGTTAAATGCCAAGCAAATTCGCTCCCATTGAACAAGGACTCACTGAAGCGTCGCGGGCAGGGTCAGCGTCGGGTTGTCGGTAAGGAAACGTGCGCCAACGCAGCACCACTCGGTGCGGTTTAGGGTTTGAGGGTTGGTGGTTCAGGATTTCAAGCCATTCCGTGGCATGTTCATTTCATCACCTCACACACCAGCTTCCGCATGGCAAACTACAGGCAAGTCCAGCACTCGCTCAGCAATTTCATGCATCGTGCTGCTCAGCTTCCAGCAAGTTGTGGGCTTCGTGTGGATTCTTGTGCAGAATCGAGGGATTACGGATCGTGACGGTCTGTTCCACGGCGGCCGGTTGAGGTGCGAAGGAGGTTTATGTCCTGTTCTGGCAGCAAGCGGGCCAAGTCTCACGTATCCAAACATCTCCGAAGCACGTTGGTACTCCTTCGGTTCTACTTCTACTACACTGCGCGCTCTCATCACTCAATGACTGTGGCCATGGCCCATGTGCTGATGTTCCCGTTCTTGCAGAGGCCCTTTTCTCTGTAATACCTCAGTTGAGCTGCACTCATGCCCGATGGAGCGGCCCTGGCACCTGTGACATGAAGTGACCCGCGCTCCGAGATCTTGGTTGCATCCCGGTGTCGCACATGTCCACCCTAAGCTCGAAGCAATACCGCACACACATGCTCCTATCGTCGATGCTTTTCGCTCGAACCCAGATGATCCGAGTACGAGCAGCCCATTGTGGATGGCCACACTGCTCCTGGTGTTGGCTTGCACCATGCAGAGTTCCGACCACCTTCTTCATACGCACAAGCAGACCAACCTGCCAGACTGATTGCCAGATGCTGTCAGTATGCGAGCTGCGACAAACAGACAAGCGTTCAACCCAGAAGCCATTTGCCCAATCAGGTGTGTCCCGACATGTTGTTGATGTTGGTGATGCAGAAGGCGTTGCAAACTCCTGGACAACGGTGAGGTTCTTCTGAGCTCATGCTCTACAAGAGCAACTCTCAAAAAGACACAGTCATTGATAACCACGGCAAGTACATCTGCATGTGTAAACTTACATGGAATGCGCTTGACACTCGGATAACCAAAACCGTCCTGATAGCAGACTCAGTTTCTCAAGCGCTTAGGTCAAATGGGTCCAAAACATAGCAAACAAGAATCTCTCGAACGGCTGATTGGCGTTGTATTACCCGGTGCCTAAGACCTGCCATGCACATCATCAAAATGGTTGCCTTGCCTAGCACTCCACGTCAAAGATACGGCATCGCGCAGCTTGAAACTGCACGAGTTTCCCACATCACAAAAAATCAAGTAGTAGACTGCTTTGACACAACACGAAAAGCTTGAATATCTGCACGGAACCTGACTTGGCACAAGAACAAACAAAACTGAACATCTACACCATCCTAATGTAGGCCCCTGATTAACAAAGGGCCCCCACCGCTTTCAAGGTCACAAGGTCGGACGCCTCGCCCCCAAACCCCCGGGAACGATTAAGTGGGAGAACTTTGTTGGGGGTTTGGGGAAAGCTAATATGGATTAGTACAGTACTAGTATAGTAGTACAGTAGTAGTACAATAGAGTACAGTAGTAATACAGTAGTAGTACAGTAGTAATACAGTAGTAGTACAGTAGTAGTGCAGTAGTAGTACAGTAGTACAGTAGTAGTACAGTAGTAGTACAGTAGTAGTACAGTAGTAGTACAGTAGTAGTACAGTAGTAGTACAGTACTAGTACAGTAGTAGTACAGTAGTAGTACAGTAGTAGTACAATAGTACTGCAGTAGTAGTACAGAAATACAGTAGTAGTACAGTAGTAGTACAGTAGTAATACAGTAGTAGTACAGTGGTACAGCAGACAGTAGTAATACAGTAGTAGTAATTAGTCCCTTCTAATTGGGGGGTGGGCATGGGGGTTTATTCAAGGTCAGGTTTCTTTCGGGTGAGATCGGGTGAGCCTGTCTGATTGGGGGTGGGTAGCCAAACTCCGCGCTATTGGGGGGTGTAAGTTTTAAGCAATACAAGACCTTGTTTAGGGGGTTTGTGGGAAACCTGTTCGGGGGAAAGCTAAGATATATTGATTAGTATAGTACTAGTACAGTAATAGTAGAGCAGTACAGTAGTAGTGCAGTGGTCGTACAATAGCAGTACAGTAGTAGTACCGCAGTAGTACAGTAGTAGTAGTCCCGTCTAATTGGGGGGGCCTGGGGGTTTATTCAAGGTCAGGCTTCTTTCGGGTGAGATCTGGATTGTGCTTGCTTGTAGTACAACGTTAGTATTGGAAATGCATCGTTTCGGCCTCATTGCGGCTCCTGGCTGGATTGTGCTTGCTTGTTGTACAACTTTAGTACTGGAGCTGCCTCGTTTCGGCTCCTGGCTGGATTGTGCTTGCTTGTAGTGCAACTTTAGTACTGGAAATGCATCGTTTCGACTCCTTGCTGGATTGTGCTTTCTTGCAGTACAACTTTCGTAGCTATGGCCGAATGGTTTACTCCGTGTGCGGCCGCCTCCTTAACCGTATTGGGCGGGGTCGCGGGCTCGATCTCTGTGTCATTTGGGCCCTTTCCCCAACCGGAATCGAACTTTTGAAATGACCAAAAACCGCCAAAAGCACAAGCAAAACCGCCCAAAACCGTGCAAACCCACCCATTCCCACTTGCCAATTTCCACATGCCCGAACACTACATCCGTGCAAATGTACACTGAATCCATGCAAACGTACACTAAATCCGCGCAAATACACATTAAATCCGTGCAAATACACACTAACTCCGTGCAAATACACACTAAACCTGCGCAAATGCACATTCTGAATACGTGCAAAGGCAGACTAAATCCGCGCAAAATACACACTAGATCCGTGCAAATACACACTAAGTCCGTTCAAGTACAGACTGCACCTGCCACCACCTGCCACCTGGCTTGTAGTACAACTTGAGTACTGGAAATGCCTCGTTTCGGCTCCCGCTGGATTGTGTGTTTGCTTCTGCTGGAAATGCATCGTTTCGGCTCCTGGCTGGATTGTGCTTGCTTGTGGTACAACTTTATAGTATTGGAAGTGCCTCGTTCCGGCTCCTGGCTGGATTGTGCTTGCTTGTAGTACCACTTTAGTACTGGAGTTGCCTCGTTTCGGCTCCTGGCTGGATTGTCCTTGCCTGTAGTACAACTTTAAATGCCTCGTTTCGGCTCCTGGCTGGATTGTGCTTTCTTGTCGTACAGCTTCCGTACTGGAAATGCATCGCTTCGGCTCCTGGCTGGATTGTGCTTGCTTGCGGTACAACTTCAGTACTGGAATGGCCTCGTTGCGGCATCTGGCTGCCAGCCAAACCGCCCAAAACCGTGCGAACCCACCCATTCCTACTTGCCCATTTCCAAAGGCCCGAACACTACATCCGGCAAATACAAGCTAGATTCCGGCAAATACAGACTAGATGTGTGCAAGTATCCATTGAATCCATGCAAATCTACACTAAGTCCGCGCAAATACACATTAAATCCGTGCAAATACACACTAAATCCGTTCAATTACAAACGAAATCCGTGCAAATATACACTAAATCCGTGCAAATATTACACTAAATCCGTGCAAATATACATTAAATCCGTGCAATTGCACAAACATCTGTGCAAATACTAAATCCGTGCAAATACACATGAATCAGTGCAAACACACGCCAAGAGCATAGAACTGCTCCTGCTATTGATCATGCCACTACTACTCCTGCTCCTGCTGCGGCTGCGATTGCTGCTGCTGCTGCTACGACTCTAAAACTACAACAACAACAACAACAACAACAACAACAACAACAACAACAACAACAACATTAACTACTACTACTCCTACTACCACAACTACTACGACTACTACTACTACTACTACTACTACTACTACTACTACTACTACTACTACTACTACTACTACTACTACTACTACTACTACTACTACTACTACTGTTACTACGACTACCACAACAACAACTACTACTACTACTACTACTGCTGCTGCTGCTGCTGCTACTACGACTAAGGTTCTTGGCTCACAGCGGAGCGATGAAATTGAAATCTGAGCCTCCGCTTTCCGAACGTAAGCTCGCTAGCAGCTCTGGAGAACCCCAATCGAACACGGCTGTAGGCTGCAGGATGGCTTGCATAGTCGCTAAACTTGTGCTGCGCCTCGCAGCTTTCTGCCTTGTGGGTAGCCAACACCGGCCTTCTGCGGGACATGCAGGGCACTGGTCTCAGCCGCACCAGCATGCTGATTCGAGCTGCTTGCACCGACTGCTGTTACTTCAGCATAGACCATGTGCATGTGTTCAATCGAACTTCAGCTTGTTGAGCAGTGCCAATGCCTTAGCTGTGCCCTCGGCCGGTCAGCACCTTTGTCAGGGCTCAGACCCCGCCTGTTCGGTAATTCTTCGACTGCTGTCAGCAGGGGCACCATCATGGCACCGCGATCCAACAAAGGATCTGTCTCCAGAACACCGCCACCGCGGACGGTCCCAAAGGCGAAGGCAAAAGGCCGATCTACGCCAATGGCGACTGCAGCTTCGGACTCCGACTTGTCTGATCTCTTCCGCTCCAGTGACGAGGATATGCCTACAGGACGCGGCGGACCAGTTGGATCTGGATCACACTCGGGCAGTACCACGGGAACAATCACACCGGCTCCAGCGCTTCGCCAAGGTATCTGCACCTGCAGGTCCACCCCCACCGGTGCCAGTTCACAGCCCGGGACCTGCTCCAGGAACACCAGCTGCAGCTTTTGGTGCTTTTAGATCGGGCCCAGGGACAGAGGACGCAAGCCGTGGCCCAGCTGCAAGACCTTCGACAACTACCCCGACGACCTCTGGCGCAGCGACTACCACGCCACACTATCCGGGTGCCCTCGTTGTCAGTGTGCCACATAGTTTGTCATTCTCTGTTGAGATTGTCGTCCGAACGGCACCAGCCGAACGCCTGTGAGACCGGCAGCCATCGGCGAGGACACGAAAATCAGTCATCAGTGTCTGCTTGCCTCTGCCACAACGGCCACCCTCTGCCTAAGCCCCACTGGTGCCCTGTAGTCCCACTCCCGTGACTAGACTTAACAGGCCCTCTCTACATCCTTTGACCTCAGGCCACACGATGGACAGCTCGGCTGCCTCCTCCTGGGAGGTCGGCCGGCTCTCGGCAGGAATTCCGCGCATCATACTTGCATCTTGTCGACAGCTGCCTGTCACGCAGGCCTGCAGCAAGGACCCCTCCACGAATAAGGAGCAGGCCTCCCGACCACAATGCGCTGCCCAGTGTATGTACTCTGCTCGTCGCACAGGCTGGCCGGCTCGCGGTCGCCACAGCCCCAGCCGACCACTCTGGCCGATACAGCTGACTCACTGCACGGCGGCCTGTTTGTCAGGTCGCAGACGTCTCTACTCCACCGCCCACCGCTGTTTCCAGCTGGCCCCAGTTCTCTCCCGTTCCACGGCACTTTTTACCAATGCCTGCATGCCTTCAGGTCCGGCCCTGATTTCGACGCCAAACATGTGGTCCGAACCTTGGCATCTCTCGCGAGTAGCAGCCGCTTACACGCAGTGCCCCACCTCCTGGCAACAGTGTGCCGGTTTTGCATGTGATCACTTCCTGATGCGACAGGCCCAAGGACATTCTCTTAGGTGCAAACCACTCGGATACCACCATCCTTCATCTCACCTCCGTGGATCCCCCCAGTACCTAATGCGAACTGCACCGTCTCAGGCCTACCAGGCGATGCGGATTGAGTTCTCCATGAATAGGCTAAGGAGGGTCAACATGGGTTGGGATGCTCGCCAATGTCGGTGGCGATATAAGCCAGGCCAAAAGGAACGACGTGCAGCCCGGGAAGCACGGGAGCGTCGGGAGCAGGGGACGGCCAGCTCGAGCTCTGGTGTGGCACCACCGTTGACCCTCTACTCGCAGAGGAGACAGCGTGCCACCC